TGATTCGTTCTGTATATACCTTGCTCATCAATTCAAAACTCTTAATGAATGGTCCAATCATTCTTGGATTCTTAATCATGCTAAAGTAATCTCCTTTAATAAATTTAAGCCAACCCATAGCATATCCTGAAGCGAGTTGTGACATTCCCATTCCCTTCACCATATAATGTTTCCAATTATCCTCAGAACATCTAATATCCCAATCCAATTCCTCTCCTTCATAAACTTTGGCATCCACCACACTTCCTTCCTTAATAATTAAAACAGTCTTTGGTTGATCCTCTCTTTTAATTCCATAACCAACTACAATCGGTTCCAGAGTATCCATTGGAGCAGGAACAAGTATTTGGAGCAGAATTACTTGGAACAATATCAAAGCATTTGAATGAACTGCAATCGTAAGTTCTCTCACCTTCGCCAAAATAGAATCGAATGATTTGATTTGGAAAGGGATTTGATACAATTTTAAATTGGTAACAAGTCCACTCACTCTGTTAGAACGCAATGAATGATGAACACCAATAATTGAACAAATACAATCTGTGGCCGCCACAAAAACTTCACTTCAGCATTTGATTTTTCCATCAATTTCATCACCACAACAATATAAGATAACCTCTCGATTGGAAATTAATAGAGGAATCCAATTTAATGCTCATGTTCATCAAATTATTTCAAATTTTTTGAACAAGCCTTTGAAAATTATTGTTCACTCGTAATTATCACGTGATTAAATCAGAAATTGATCCATTGGTTCTTTCACAGTCTCCATTTTTGAGTGACTACATACTCATTTGGATAAGGATGTACGATTTGTTTACATTGTACACACAACAAACCTTCTATTTGTGAACAACATGAACACAATTAAAATCGAATAAATAGTAGAAGCGCTCAACAGAGTTTCTTCCACTCATACAAAAAAAACAAACAACCATGATTCACCTTAATGAATCTAACAATCATCAATATATTCATTGTATTGAATTCACTCGAATGAACTTTTTCAAGGCTTTGAAATTTTAATCGATAGTAAGTAA